AAGATCTCCTAATGGAGCCAGTCCAGGGACTGGGAGGCTCCAACTAGTGGCAAAGGTGAACGTGGGTGTGGGAGAGGTCAGAACTGAGACAGAGGGCCTGGGGTGTAGTGAGTAGGGGGTCTTATTCCTGATCGGCACCATGATTCCAGGCATGCAGTTTCTGCCACACAGTAGGTGCTCAATAATATTTGGGGAATTAATATAAGAATGAATGAATGAATATTTCCCCAACTGCTCCTGCATGCTCTGCAATACATTGCCTCCCACTGTGTCCAAGAAACTCACATGGGGGGAGAAGCTGTTGCGCCCCATTCCCACGCTGTACATGCTCCCTTTCTCAAACCCCCTGATGTTCCTTCTCCCTGAGCTTCAGAGCTGAGTCAAGGATGGCCTTTGGTCTGAAGGACCGTGGGATGTCTGGACCCTGATGTATTGAGCTTCAGACTGGCCCTGCATCTGGGCAAAAGAGAATCAAGTGTGTCGAGGAAACCAGGTTTCCATTCTGCACTGATAAGAGCACTGCTTAATTACAGAGCGCATTTTACTTTTATTTTATTTTTTATGTTTTGTTATTTTTTATTATGTTCTGTTAGTTACCATACATTGCATCATTAGGTTTTGGTGTAGTGTTCCATGACTCATTGTTTGCAGATAACACCCAGTGCTCCATGCAATCCGTGCCCTCCTTAATACCCATCACCAAGCTAACCCATCCCCCCTCCCCCGAAAACCCTCAGTTTGTTTCTCCGAGTCCATAGCCTCTCATGGTTCATCTCCCCCTCCGATTCTCCCCCTTCGTTTTTCCTTTCCTTCTCCTAATGTCCTCCCTGCTATTCCTTATTTTCTACAAACAAGTGAACCCATATGATAATTGACTTTCTCTGCTTGACTTATTTCACTCCAGTTCCATCCACGTTGATGCAACCGTTGGGTATTCATCCTTTCTGATGGCTGAGTAAAATATTCCATTGTATATATGGACCAGATCTTCTTTATCCATTCGTCTGTTTTTTTATTTTGAATGTTAATTCTAGTATAGTTAAAATACCATGTTATATTAGCTTCAGGGGTAGAATATAGTGCTTCAACAATTTTGTACATTACTCCGTGCTCATCCTGACAGGTGTATTCTTAATCCCCTTCACCAATCACCCATTCTCGCACCCACCTCTCCTCTGGTGACCATCAGTTTGTTTTCTATAGTTAAGAGTCTGTTTTTTGAAAGAAGAAGATAGCAGAAGGGGAAGAATGAAGGGGGGGAAATCGGAGGGGGAGACGAACCATGAGACTATGGACTCTGAAAAACAAACTGAGGGTTCTGGGTATCTGCTCTACCCATCACTGGGTATAGCCTGGTGATGGGTATTAAGGAGGGCATGTTCTGCATAGAGCACGGGGTGTTATACACAAACAATAAATCGTGGAACACTACATCAAAAACTAATGATGTAATGTATGGTGACTAACATAACATAATTTAAAAAAAGAGTCTGTTTTTTGGTTTAACTCTTTTTTTTTCTTTGTTTTGTTTCTTCAATTCCACATAGAAGTGAAATCAGATGGTGTTTGTCTTTCCCTGACTGACCTATTTCATGCAAGGTTATACTCTCCAGCTCCATCCACGTTGTTGCAAATGGCAAGATTTCATTCTTTTTCATGGCTGAGAATATACCATTGAATATATATACTACCTCATTTTATCCGTTCATCTACGATGGTCACTTGGACTGCTTCCATAATTTGGGTGAGCACATTTTACCTTTATACAGAGCTTCTGCAAGTATGCTTTTATTTTAACACCTATGTATTTTAAAATCACTACATGGAATAAACATTTTTCAGTTCTGAAATATATAAGAAATACATTAAAAATCCTTAGTCCTATAATCAGATCTTTGCAAAATATTAACATTTTGCTGTGATTGTTCTGTTTCTTTTAAAAACACTGTTCTGAATTTGGAGTTTATCATTTCAAATTTGATTTTATAATTTCACAACATACTATCAATCCTTAAGCAATATACAATATTACTTGCATGTTTTAATTTTATATAAATGCTGTTATACTGTATACAGCATTCTGGAACTTTTATTTTTATGCTCAACACAGTTTGTGGGATTTCTTCATGTTGCTATATGTAGCTCTCTTTTATTAATTTTCCAGAATTCTGTGGCTCTCTATTATAAGAAAATGCTACAACTCAGGGATTCTTGTCAAGATGGTATGAAAGCTGAACCTGTTGTTTGGGTAATGCAACTTTGCAATGAGCATTTTTCTCTCTGTTTCCAGGGGCACACATTGGAGCGTCCCTCTAGCTGCTCTGCTTTGGTCCACAGAGCAAGAGTGTTAGTATCCTTTGGGAGCTTTTGTAATACCAAAAAAAGCTTTTAATTTTTGATGAGGTTTTGTTCTTCCCATTTATACCTTTGACCGAGCTTTATTTTTCTGAGCTGTGTGTGTGTCCGTCTGTCCGTGTGTGTGTCTGCATGTGTGCTATAAATAGTAAAAATCTTAAATTTTTTCTACCATTGGATAAATTATCCAGTACTCATTGATCGGCACAGTACCTTTGCTGTATACTAAACCACTCCATTAACGTGTGGTTCTTTTTATGATGTCTTACTGCCATTGTGGTTTGGGGCAGCTGTATTGGTTTCTAATTGAGCTTTGAACATCAAGATTATTCCAGCAAGCTTATCACACTCGGACTAGTGCTCATACTATGGACAGTCTCTTCTGTGTAACTCATAACATCAGTCAACTCACCTAGATTAGTTTTTACTTTCATTAAAGTTGCATATGCACTCGCTTCAACAGGCAAATAGTTCTATACGTTCTATATATGAAAACTGGAATCTCTCTACCTCCCTCTATTTTCCACCTCTCAGGGGAAACAGTTTTCCACTCTTCTAATTGATTATTTTTTGAAATGTTTTATTTATTTATTCATGAGAGTCAGAGAGAGAGAGAGAGGGAGAGGCAGAGGGAGAAGCAGGCTCCCCGCCTAGCAGGGAGCCCGATGCGGGACTCAATCCCAGGACTCCAGGATCATGACCTGAGCCGAAGGCAGACGCTTAACCATCTGAGCCACCCAGGCGCCCCTAATTGATTTTTTTTTTAAACTTCTATCTTTTTTTTTTTTAAGATTTTATTTATTTATCTGAGACAGAGAGAATGAGAGAGAGCACATGAGAGGGGGGAGGGTCAGAGGGAGAAGCAGACTCCCTGCCGAGCAGGGAGCCCGATGCGGGACTCGATCCCGGGACTCCAGGATCATGACCTGAGCCGAAGGCAGTCGCCCAACCAACTGAGCCACCCAGGCGCCCCCCTAATTGATTATTTTTAACTGAATCTAGTAGATGTTACAGCCAGATCTCATATAGCATCTTATATTATCACTTCTTGATCTCACCCGTAGGCATTATTCACTGACTTCCCCCTCCAGATGGTGAGGATACAGTGCTCTGTTACTCCAGACCCCACCACTACATGTGCATATTTCTACCCCACTACCTGAATATTTTAATTTTAGCTAATGTCATAGTCAGTGTCCACATTATAATGGCAACAACATTGTGCTTTATAACGCAATCTTGTAACATTCCCAGCTTTTGTTTGCATCCATCTGCTGATGTGTATTTTGGGTAACCACCACCATATTCAGGGTACAGAACAGTTTCATGGCTGCAGAGCTTACCCTTGTGCTGGCCTCTCTTAGTGACAGCCAGCCCCACCCAAACCTCTGGCACATGCCAATCTGTTCTCTATGACTTCGAGAATGTCATGGAAGTGGAGTCACACAGTGTGGACATTTTGAGAGTGATTTTGTTCACTCCACATGATGCTTTTGGAAACTTAGAAGCTGTGCACATGTAGATAAGTTTTTCCTTTTTATTGCTGAGCAGTATTTCCTGGTAGAAATGCACCACAGTTTGTTCAAACATTCACTTATTACTGTACATTTTGCTTGTTTCTAGTCTTTTGCCATTACAAAGAAAGCTGCTCTAAACATTCACAAACAAGTTTTCATGAGGATGCAGTCTTCCTATCTCTCAGACAAGTGCCTGGGAGTGTGATTTTGGGGACATATAACCCACTTCCTCTCCTGAAAAAGAGAAGAAATGATGTAAGCACATACAACTTCTTCTTTTTTATAGATTAAAGTGATCTCTACACCCAACCTAGGGCCCGAACCCACGACCACAATATCAAAAGTCACATGCTCCACCAATGAGCCAGCCAGGTGCCCTAAGCACATACAACTTCAGAGGTCCACCTGCACTGTGCATTGGGATGAAGTTTCACCAGTTACATCAATAAAAGGTTGGAATAGGGCACCTGGGTGGCTCAGTCGTTGAGCGTCTGCCTTCGGCTCAGGTCATGATCCCAGGGTCCTGGGATCGAATCCCGCGTCGGGCTCCCTGCTCGGCGGGAAGCCTGCTTCTCCCTCTCCCACTCCCCCTGCTTGTGTTCCTGTTCTCGCTGTCTCTCTCGGTCATATAAATAAATAAAATCTTTAAAAATAAATAAATAAAAGGTTGGAATAGGGAGTCATTTCTGTGTTTTACAGACCCTGGCGTACCTTCTTTCCTCCAGCTGAGTAGCTCTTGGTGGAGGCTGGTGCAGAACGAGGTCACATGCCAGCCACCCCCAATTGTCCAGAGCTCGGGTGGTGGGACACAGGACCAACTGCAGATGTTTCTTGGCCTGAGGCTCCCAAGTGTGGAATGGCCAAGAAGACCCCAAGATGGGGGGAGGGGCACAGTGCACAGAGTAGAGGCCCCAGGTGGGCAGGAAGCATCATTTCTGCTAGGTCTGTTCATGCTCTCTAAAACGTAAGAAGAAGCCTTTCTCACCATGTGAGGCCTTCTCTGCCTGACTTCTCTTTCACAATCCAGAAGCAGATTGCTGCCTCACAGCCGTGTCACTGCATCATAGATGCTTCCTCTTATATCACAGGACAGCGAGCTATTCGTCCCCACAGAACAGAGGCCCCATCTCCCCAGCACACACGTTTGCACAGAGCAGGGTCCTCAGGCCTCCACAATGTTGGCCTCTGGCTCCGGACCCTGTCCTCCTCCTTACCTGCTGCTGGCTCTGCTGTTGGGACTCACAGGTGAGCATTGCCTTGGGGAGACTCCCCATTCCCTGCCCCCTCAACCTTCCCCTGCCCCTGGACATTAAGGCCTCCAGGTAAGCACAGGTGTTCTACCCAGACCCTCCACAGAAGGCCAAGGACTGACTGTCATCTGAGAGCATGAAGTCAGGGATCTGAGCATTTCCTCTATGGATCCATCACCTGCAGCTAGTTACCAGATACAGCAATCTGTGGAAGAGAGGGGAAAATGAAACAAGACGAAATCGGAGAGGAAGACAAATCATAAGAGACTCTTAATCTCAGGAAACAAATTGAGGGTTGCTGGAGTGGAAGGGGGTGGGAGGGGAGGGGTGGCTGGGTGATGGACATTGGGAGGGTATGTGCTATGGTGAGCGCTGTGAATTGTGTAAGACTGATGAATCACAGACCTGTACCCCTGAAACAAATACACTATATGTTAATTTAAAAAAAGAAAAGAAAAGACAGTGCTGCTGGATACAAAAATGAGAGAATCTTCAGGGTGGGATGTATTTAAATAGGTAACCTGAGTGGCCATTGCTGATAATGGAGATTTATGCAAATATTATAAGAAGGTGGGGGAGTGAGCCATGTATTTTCTGGAGGAAGAGACTTCCTGAACATCATGGGAACAGCATGAGAGTAGAATCCTCCTTCTCTGTTTAAGGATTTGAGCTTTTACTCTAAGTCAAATGTTTACAATTGCAAGGTTTTGAAGACATAACTGACATGATCCAGCATGAGTTTTTTTTTTTTCAGTTAAGTTTGTTGGTTTAATTAAGATAGACATGTCTTTCAAGTTGTCAACGCCAAATGTGAAACTCCCATTCCATCGAGGTCCACCAAAGGCCAAACAAGCTCATATTATCTGTGTTGCAATTTGCCAGCAAAAAGATGACTTGAAATGATGGTTAAACTCGTCTAGTTTTGAATTATTCTAGCATTTGGTTGAGAAGGGGCTACCACAGAACATAGATATAAACAGCTAGATCATTCAAGAGCTCATTGCACTCATGGCAACAGGGAAAAGCAGTTTTAACCAAGATAGCAATCAAGAGAGGAAGGGGAAAGAGGTCAGATTATGGGTGCATGCAGAGAGGAGCTAACAGGATTTCCTAATGCATAGGATTTGGGGTGGGAAAGAAAAGCTCCAAGGGTTTGGGACCTGAGTGTCTGGGAAAATAAGGTGCCTCAGCTGAGATGTACAAGAATGTGGCAGAAATTGAGGGGTTGAGTATGGGACATGTTGACTGTGACAGACTTATTTCTAGCTAAAAAAAATGTCAAGTGGCTGGTTGGACACACAAATCATAGTTCAGGGGCAAGGCCTGGGCCAGAGATGGAAATAGGGAGATTATAGATATACTGATGAAAGAGTTTTCACCTTTCCCTGGCTCCTCTTGACCCTCTGGTCCTCTTCATTCTTCCCTCCCATATTACCTCCATTTCTCCCTCCATGGTGCATTCCTGTTTCTTCCCATTTTGGTCCTAGCAGTTCAGCTTGCCGACCCCAATCTTCTTCTCCAGACTTAGAAACCAAAGTGCCTGATGTTCTTGGCACACCCAAGACCTGCCTGTAATAGCACGTGCCCTCCTTAGGAGGCAAGTTTGGTTGCAAATACTGTTAAGTGCATGGGTTCACTCTGCAAGGGTGAACCACAGATTTTCTCCCTGAGGAGTAGTTAAGAAATGGAAATGAACACTGGGTGTATGAGTCGAGCCATAGCAGTCTGCTCCTCTGATTTAAATCCCTGCCTGGTTTTTAGGACACTTCAAGTAAGCAGGAATGATTTTGCATTTCTCGATGTCTCCAGGCACTAGCTAGTCAGCAAGGCAGGATATCCAACTGCAAAGCCAAACCTGCTCTGTGCCACATCACTGAGTCTCTCTGAGTCTTCGTTTCCTCATGTGTGATACGGTCTCACGTTACAGGCTCGTGATGAGGGCTGCATGCCACGTCCATGCAACGTGCCTAGGTCAAGGCCCGCTCACGGTGCGCACTCACTCACTGAGCTATTGTGGATACACACGTGAGGAGACACCCAGGATCACGTCAGGATGATCTTTGTTTTCCCTCCAGGTGTGGCAGGTGAGGCGGAGCTGCAGGTGATCCAGCCTGAGAAGTCAGTGTCTGTCGCAGCCGGACAGACAGCCACTCTGCACTGCACCCTGACCTCCCTGCTCCCCCTTGGGCCGGTTGAGTGGTTCAGGGGAACAGGGCCAGCCCGGGAGTTAATCTTCAGTTTCAGAGGAGGCCGCTACCCCCGAGTGACAAATGTTTCAGATGCCACAAGGAGAAACAACACGGACTTTTCCATCCGCATCAGTAACATCACCCCAGCAGACGCTGGAACCTACTACTGTGTGAGGTTCCAGAAAGGGAACCCTGATGTGGAGTTTAAGTCTGGACCAGGCACTCAACTCATAGTGAGCGGTGAGTATGGCCGGGGGCTCATTTGTCCCCTGGTTGGGACAACAAGTCAATAAGAATGCCCTCCATTGTCTGAGCAACAGCTAAGGATCAGGTTCTGAGGTGGGTGCCCCTGACTTCAGCCCCTTCCAGAGATCCGGGAGTTGAGGCCTGGGGAGGTCATGCTATTTGTTCAAGGTCACAAGGCTGGAAAACAGTGGGAAAATCTAGAACTCCAGTCTGCGGGCCCCACTACTCTTCCCTTTTCCAATCCTGAGCAGCCCTCTTGTCCAGGAATGAGGGACTAATAGTCTGAATGACTTGCTCAGTCGTATGGCCCAATGTTACTCTTGCCTCCAGAGAGTGCTCCCCTCCATGTGGCTGACTCTTCTCTACTCAGCACTTACTGAGCACCTGCTGTGTGCAGGCTCCGCTCTGGGTGCTGGGGAAGCAGCAGGGAACAAAACAGACAAGGGCTCCTCTCTCATGAAGCTGACATTCCCTTCCTTTCCTGTGGACCAAGGCACTCAGGGCAGGGAGGTGGGACAACGTCTTTCTTTCTCAGCTTCAGAAGAATCAAAGTGAGAATAGACACAGGCTCACTGTTTACTCTGAGAGCCCAGGTTGGAGAAGATGCCAGAGGTTGGGCATTTGCTGTGGGTCTGTCCAGAAAAGCTCCATGCAATTCCGGGACTGACTCACATAATAGCGACTGAATCTCCCCACAGCCCGTGGACAGAGGCATGAAGGTGGCTGTATCCTGATTGGGCAGGTGTTACAGAAGCTCCCAGTGGTACTTCCCATGCCTGGACACCAGCACTAGTACGTGGCTCCACCACCAGGCAGATCTGTGCCTCCTAGGAGAACACTCCTTCCTCCTCCCCAAACTGCCCACACAGGTGATGCCCTGGATGAGAATGGATGGAGTCAGAAGGGACCATCTCAGCCCCTTTTACAGATGAGGACACTGAGGCTCAGCAGATCTGGCCTGAGCAGGGAAGGGAACCACAGCCTGGCTCACAGCCCTGCTCTCTGCACACTCACTGTGCTGGCCAAAGTGGGAGAAAGCTCCAACCCTGTCCTTGAAACTCTTGTAAATCTTGTTCTCTTTTTCAGCAGTAAGCATTAAGAAAACTCACAGGGAGAGGTGGGCTAGCTTTGCACCCCCAGATCAGACAGATATGCAAACATCTTGTAAAGTGTTGAGCCTGTTCCTGGAGGGCATGGCTCCACACATGTAAGAGTATCAGGAGTCTTTCCCTGTTGTGTGGTGTTGATCGTTCACTGAGCAGCCTGGGCCAGGAACCTGGACAGAACAGAGGGTCCCCGCAATCCCAGCAAACTGGGCAGCCCATTCCTGGTTCTGCAGCCTGAGGATGACTGGGAGGCACATCCTGGAGGATGTTTTGGGTCCCCTCAGCTAAAGTGCATATTCTAGACTCAGCTGTCGGGACCCCACGTCTTCCCTCTGTTGTAACAGAGTCAGCAGGTCTGGGCACCCCGAGGGACCCCTCCCCATAAGTGCTTGCAGTGGAGAATCTCAGAGGGAACAGGAGGGTGGCGGGCACTGTCAGGCTGGAGAAGGTGAGACACTTGCTCTGTTGTGGATGAAACAGTTGGAGGCCACAGGAAGTCCCCTGGGAGGCAGTGAGGTGTGAGGAGCAGCCCCTTTGTAACTGGACCAAAGTGGGTTGGCTCCTCGGTGAGGTAGAGACAGAGACTGTCCAGGGGGTGCGCTGGTACCCACAAAGTTGTCTTTATTTGTACAGATAAGGGATCACAGGGAATAATTTCCAAAGCCATGATGCTAAACAAGGGCAAACAGACTCTATTGATTAGGGTTGAGATGAATATTCCGAGGGGGATTTTAACTATAATGAGGTGGAGGTTGCTGTCAGCCGCTTTCTGATTCATCTGCTCCTTTCCATCTGCATTTCAGTGACAAATTCTAAGCAAAACCGCTTGCATTCCCTCACTTTCCTCTCCCTGCAACCCCGGGAAGGAGAAAGGCATGCTGTCCCATGTCACAGAGGAAGAGCCACGCGGTGTCACGGCCACCCCTCCCGTGGACTGGCCAGCCTGGTCCCGGCTTCCATGGGGGTCCCGCCACACCCCTGCTTCCCCTGCACGGACTGCTGCACAACCTCTCTGAACTCAGTGAGGTTTGCAGGGAGGCGGCTAGGATGGTTGATACCAAGAGTGAGACCCAACAGGAATGTTGTTCCGGTGCCCAGATCGGTGGGAAGTCACCTGGCAGAGGCAAGAAGGGGGACTTGAACTCAGGCCTGGACCTGCACCTGGGCCCTGCTCCCTGACTCGGAGTTCAGCTCTGGAACCTCAGGTCCTCCTCTGTGGGATGAGGGGATGACACAGCCCTCCCCACGCTATCAGAAGGGCGGAGGGTTCTCCACAGTGTCACACGCGTATCCTTGGTGCTGATGACCACAGTCATGCTTACTGTTCATAAATGCTCCTCTTGTAGCCAAACCCTCTCCCCCCGTGGTGTCGGGTCCCACGGCCAGGGCCTCGCCTGAGCAGACAGTGAACTTCACCTGCAACTCCCATGGCTTCTCCCCCAGAAGCATCACCCTGAGATGGTTCAAAAACGGGAATGAGCTGGCAGCCTCCCAGACCACCGTGGACCCAGAGGGAAACAGCACTTCCTACAGCGTCTCCAGCACAACCAGGCTGGTGCTGGCCCCGGGGGACGTTCGCTCCCAGGTCATCTGCGAGGTGACCCACGTGACCCTGCAGGGTCCTCCTCTTCGTGGGACTGCCAACTTGTCTGAGGTCCTCCGAGGTAGATGCCCCTCACCCCCAGCCCAAGCCCGGGTCTGGCCCCCAAGTCTCGAGCCTGCCCCTCCCCCCACTCTCTGCCCCAGGTGGTCCGTTGCCTGGAGTCTGACTCCTGACAGACCCTCCCAGTCACCCTGCACCTAGGTGTACGGTCCCCTCCTATGGTTTTTCATGGCAGCTGGGGGGTGAACACCTATCATGTGCCAAGCACTGTGCTGGGTAGGTCATTTAGTTTAACATAGCAATTCCAATTATTGAGCACCAGCTGTAATCCACGCCACCGTGTGCTTGGTGATGTCATTTATTTTGCTGATTATTCTATTCCGGCTGCATGCCACGGGCTGAGGATCTTGATTTCATTCATTCTTACCCTAATAGGAGCTACCAGTCCTTGAGCACCTACTGTGTGCTGGGCACTGTGCTTAGGGATTTCATTCATATGCAAAGGCTACCCTCAGTGTTTGAGCACCAGCTGCATGCCTAGCCCTGTTCTGGGTGATTCCCTTGCTGTGTGGGGGGAGCTAAGTTCTCGAGCCCCTCCCCCGTGATCTGTCTGTTCCATGAGGTCAGAGCTTCTGCTCTGTGCTCTTTCAGTTCCGCCCACCTTGGAGGTTTCCCAGGAACCCGTGGCAGGGGACCAGGTGAAGGTCACTTGCCAAGTGAAGAAGTTCTACCCCCAGCGCCTACAGCTGACCTGGCTGGAGAACGGAAACATGTCCCGAACAGAAACGGCCTCGACGGCCTCGACGGCCTCAAACCTCATAGAGAACAAGGATGGGACGTTTAACTGGACGAGCTGGCTCCTGGTGAACTCATCCGCCCACAGGGAAGATGTGGTGTTTACCTGCCAGGTGCAGCATGACCGGCAGCCTGCGGTCACCAAAAACCATACCCTTGTGGCCTCTGCCCACCAGAAGGACCAGGGTGAGACCTCAGTGATCCTGTTCCTAGCATCCTGCCCCTGCTCCCTCACCTGACAGTGATAAGTCACCACGTCTGGCCAGCCACCCCCTCCTCCTGTTCTTTCTCACCTGAGCATGGTCTCTATCCCTTCTAGATCTTTCCATCCTCACCCCAGCAAATGTACGTACATGCCACTCTGAAATTCTGGAAGGGATCCTGAGGACCTAGAGTTTTGAGTCTTGACCAGTCTCCCGGGTGACTGTGTGTGGTCACACCTGGGGTCTCCTTTCTCCCCTTATTTGTGACAACAGACTGGCGATATTCATGATCATTCCCAGCACACTTACTTTATGCCAATTCCAGTTCATTGCAGGTCTCCCTTCCTGCTTAACCAACCCTGTGACCTGGAATTTTACAGAAGGGACTCAGGGAGCAATGAGGGACAGATGGTGATGATATCCTGCCCTTAGGCCAGCTGCTGAGCTAAGCTAGTCTAGGGAAACTTGAGTCCCTGAAGACGGACCAGCAACCTGTACAAAAAAAACAAAAACAAACAAACAAAAAAAGCATGTGTTAATTATAGCAGCAGGGCATTGTCCCAAGGAACTATGGAGTCCCCTTTCTACAACCCAAACATTCCTTATTTCTCTCTCATGTAACATCAGGAGGAGGTTGAGCCAGGTTTCCAGCAGTCTTTGTTCCAGAAGTTCTTTCAAAGGCCCATGTTCTTCCTAACATGCCCTATGACATTGTCCTCATGGCTGGGTCAACACTGGGTCAACGAGTGTTCCTGTCCCTGCTGGCTGGGACAACAGAGAGGGGAAGGCGAAAATGAAGGATTTCTCTTAAAACCAGGGGTATGTAGAAGTTGCATAGTTGTGTCTAATAATGGCTTAGTCGTGAATGCACTTCCAGTTTCAAATGGAGTCGACAATTGTGTGGTCATGTGATTAATGACATTATTTTTTCTATAAAACCAATACTATCACACTCTTAGTAAAATTAATAATAATTCCTAACATCATCTAAAATGGAGTATAGATTCCAATTTTTCAAAGCTGCTTCTCTTAACTTTATTTTGTGGACCTAACTTGGTTTTAATTCACCTGTAAGTGCTTAAAAGAATTTTCCTGTGAAACACCTGCATCTCCACCATTCTTTCTTTTGATTTGGAAAGAATCTGAACAGCTAGGGCTACTCAAATTCTTCAATTCATGTTGGATGCCTGTGGTAAGCTGTGCTTTTGAGAAATTTGGTCCTTTTTCTCTGAATTGTCAAATCTCTGCACATAGAGATGCTCATAATATTACCTGGTTATCCTTCTGATGTCTGTAGGGTGTTCAGTGATATCCCATTTCATTCCTGATTTTGGAAATGTGCCAATTCTCATTTTTTTCATCGTCACAACTGCTAGAAGTTTCTCAAATTTATCAATCTTTTCAAAGAACCCACTTTTGTTTCAGTGATTTTCTCTATTGTTTGTTTTTAATTTCTGCGCTTTTTCTCCTCTTTTTTTATTTCCTTCTGCTTCCTTTGGGTTTATTTTTCTCCTCTTCACTTTTTGAAATGGGAACAAAGGTTATTGAATCTACACTTTTCTTTGTTCAAATGCCATGACTGGGCCTCCTTCTGTGCTTGGGGAGTCAGGAGTGTGGAGCCAGGATACCTGGTGTGTGTTCTTCCTCCAGTTTGGAAGCATCTAGCCCACCTGCCTTCCTCTTCCATCTGAAAGATTCCTCCATGCTTGGACCGCATGTGATTTCCAGGGGGCAGGCTTGTTCTGAGCCAGGAGAGCAGGAAGAGATGAGTCTACACATTCTCCTATGGACCAGTTTGGGTTTGGTGTTCAGTCTTTGGTCTTTCACTGGGGCTCAGGCCATAGCCATTACTTCTGGTGCTTCCAGGATGTCTGAACTAGGAATCTTCCATTGTGCTAAGGCTGAGAATAGATTTTAGGGTTGTCTGGGTTGGCAGCTGGAGCTATGTGCAGGATGCCTATGGGATCCTGCTGTGCCAGGATGCCACAGCCTCCCCTGGGCGTCCCAGGGCTCCAACCACTGCCATCCCTTCTGGATCCAGTGGGTCTGGCATAATGATGCATATCTTTTTCTACATGTCTATGGTATTGAGGTATTTCACAATACTTCTAGCCTAAAAGAGCTCCCTTCTCTCAGTATAGCATGACCACGTATGTTACTGGGACTTGGGGATGGTTGGGGATATGGATGGTTTGGACCCTGGGAGAGAGGCTCTGAGTCCTCTGATCTTTCTGGTTCTTCTTTCAGGACCCCAAGTTTGCCTCCTCCATTTTTCCTTCTCCCCCTCACCACTCAACTCTGAAACAGCATCTCTTCCTTCCTTTTTGCTTTTACCCCTGAAGTCATGCATTCTAAACCGTGCCTGTCCCTTTTCTTCACACCTATCTTTTTAAAACTTCCCTGCCTCCTTGTATTAAGTTCCTCTTGCTGCTGTAATAATTAGAACACGCTTAGTGACTTAAAACAACACACATTTTTCCTTCCATTTCTAGACAAGAAAGTCCTAAATGGGGTAGCACGACCGGGTTCCTTCTAGGGACTCTGGGGGAGAGTGTGTGTCCTTGCTGCTCCAGCTCCTAGAGGCAGCCCCACCCCTTGGCCAAGGGCCCCGCACCCTCCGACCTCTGCTGTGATCATCATGCCTCCGGCTCCCACTGGCCTGCCTCCCTCCTTCCCTGGGACGGGTCTCTGTGATTAAATTGGCTCCACTCCGAAAGTCCAGGATAATGACCCACTCTAGACCCTAGCTAATTACCATGCAGGCTCTCCTGCCATGTAAGGTACCATATAGTCAGACTCTGGGGGTCCTGGGCCAACTCCCTTTAGTCAGGCATACCTTGAAACCCCTTCCTATGATCTGTGTCCTGATCTTCAGGACACGTTTCCAAATTTTCTCAATTAAACTTGATTTAATATTGGCGGTGAGATTTCCAAATAACTGTCAGGCTCCTTGGCTACCTGCCCTTGTCTGTTTCTCCTGCCCTTTCCTGTGGTTGGTGAAGGTGGGAGGGGAATGGCATAAGGGATGTGCATTTGGATTTGGAGATTATTCTCTTCTGTCTATCAGAGATTTTGCAGTTTGGGCATTGATCTTCAAGGACTAGTGAGAGCCAGTTTTCCATAGAATTGACTGTCCTTTTATTGTTTTTCCTCTGGGTTGAGAGGCCATATTTGGAGATGAGTAGCTAAGCTGTGTGTTGTCCTCAGCAGCCCACTAGTGCCCAGAGGGCTTTGAAAGCCTTGGCCCCAGTGTCCCTACCCCACATATCAGCATCGATCTCCCATATTTCCCCATCAGGGTCCTATTCTGGTAGAGCAGGTGCAGTGTAGCTGAGAATTCAATCCTCTCTGTAGCACTGATACTTTATGATTATGTTGGACCCAACTGTGTCCTCGGCTTTTTCTGCCCTCCCGTCTAGGAGGTAACCGTCTGCACTGTTGCCCCTCAAGTCCTCTGACTTTCATACATAACCTTTCATGTGAGATCAGTCAGTCTTCACTTTGCATTGTCTTTCTCTGAAGGATTAATGCCCAGCAACAGCCACCCAACCCGTACTCCTTATACTTACCAACTCCTTTCCAGAATGCCAAGGTACGTCACTCCTCTGCTTACACCATTGCAGGTCACCGTGGTGAGGTTTCAGCAGAGACAAGAGCAGGACAAGCTGGCACCTACCCTGCTCTACCTCCTCCCTGGGCTGGGGGCCTCTTGGCCAGCCAACTGATAAAAACCCTGCTCCAGGTGTGCCCATTAGAGCTGGCTTTCTGGACCCCACCCAAACAAACTCCACACATCAGGTGACTCAGGAAGCAGACTCTCAGATGATATGAGAAGGGGGAAAGCTCACTGTGGAGCACTGTGTGATCCACATGTGTGAGAGGGGAATGGAGGCAGAACTGGCAAAGGGAGATGTTGAACACAGTGCAGCCCAGCAAGACTCAACCTTGGACAGAGAGCTGGGGAGCCGATGCTCTTCGTGAGTTGTTTTAAATGGAGAAGATTGGCTAAGCCTCTGTACCCCCACTTCTTCCAGCCCTCTACTGTAGGTTGCCTTCTAGAAGCAGGTGCAAACATGGGCAATACAGCTCTTTCAACTGAGAGAAAGTCCGGGGGCCCACCCAGCTGAGACCTGCCATCCTCCAGCACGCCAAGGGCAAATGTGGCGAGGTCTCTGCTCCTTCCTTTAAGATTACTCCATATATTTCAAATTTTATTTGCATTTCTTTATTGAAATATAAAAGCAAAAATGGGTCATTGCAGAAAGTCAAAGGATCTGAAGGTGTATTTACAGATCCAACCTCTATATCCAACAAACGATGTCAGCTGATATTGGCACTGTGGTCCAGGTGGGCTGGATGGTGTTTGAAACGCTCCTGAGCATTAGACCCCATTTCCTTGTCTCCCCAGGGTGTTGTCCAGGCAGCAGGCCTCCTGAGGTCAGGTCATCCTGGGACCTCCTTCCTCACCTCTGTACATGGAGTCTTTAAGCCCTGTGCATGGAGCAAAGCAGGGCAGCCTTGCCCCTCACTGACCATGACACCATCTGTTCTCACTCCACTTGAGGCCAGGCTGACATTTGTCCCTATTCCCCAGAGAGTTTGGATTTGTCCTGGTCCAAAGACAAGGTCTCAGAGTCATCCTGCAGGACAGCAGTGAGGGATTTCCCGGGGTCTGAACCACCTCATCTTTTGACCCTCTGTAAACTATGAGCCTGTTCCCTCATCAGAAAGAGCGTATACAACCTGCCCTATGGGTGTGAGGACCAATTCAGTAAACCAAACTTACATGTTACTGAGTGCTCATTCTCCCCCACCTCTTCCCTCAAGAAGGACACCTGGCAGTAAGAAAGGGGTGAGTGAGATGAAGAACTTCTTGCCCCAAATCTGCCTTGAGCTTGAGTGCAGGGGAAGAGATTCATGAGCTTCAGAGCATTGATTAGCTTGAGTTGCTTCAGAGAGAGTACGTGGAGGCCCCAGGGAATGGACTCCTGGGTCCCCCTCTCATGGTGCCTGTGTCCATTCTTTTCCAGACCCAAGGCTATCTACTCCACTCCTGGTGGCTGTCACCCTCGGCCCAAAGCTGCTGCTGCTCATCACTGTCTCTGCCATCTATGCCTACAGGAAGAGAAGGCCTGCATGTAAGTTGTGGGTCAGGGATGGCAAGCAAATTTCAGTCCCAGAAGGAGCCAGGTCAGGAAGATGGGCAGTGCACAGGTCACACAAAGTCAGCACCCGCCTGGAGTAAAGAGCAGGACACATCTATCTCCATACCCTCAGGAATCTCTGGGATCCCTCTGAGATGTTCCCAATTCCCAAGAAGTATGTGGGGATCTGTAGCAGGTGCGTGGAGTCAAAGGCTATCAAGGGATTTGCACAGAATCTTAGCGATTCTGGGAAGGAAGTGTGCAGGGGGCTGAATGAGAGGCAGCTGGGTGGGAGGAACCCTTGCAGACAATCTCTAAATTATTTGAGCACAAGGAGTCTACATCTAAGAGAATGCTGACAGGTGCCGGATGGCGGCTCTAAGGATGGCTCCTGCCTGACCCTCTGTGGGACAGACAAGAGGGAATGGGGATGGGGATCAGGCCCTAAGGGATGAAGGCTTAGGTGGCAGAGTCCTATATCAGGGGTTGTCTGTCCTCTCACAACAGGTGTCCCAGGAGGAAAATAGCGTGGAGGACATAGGAGACACATGGGGAACATTTCTGGAATGATGAGCAGATAATTAACTGTGGTGAACATGGGTCCTACAGCACTTACCTTCCTCCCCTGCTACATGCCACCCTCAGTCTCTGCTGCCTCCTTCCTTCCATGAGGGACCCAGCCTAAGAGAAAGAACAACTAGAAGCTTCCACAACTCTGCTCCAAATGCCTTGCTTCCCCCAGAGACCCAGCTGCCCACACCTCCTGCTTCTCCTTCTCAGAGTCTTTGATGCCCCCAGAGCTGGGTCTTCATACCAGGTCCTCAGGAGGGGCCATGGGAACTTGCTCTGGGGACTGACGCAGAGACTTGTGAGAAACAAGTCACATCTACACAGACCAGGTATCTCTCATCCATCTTCTGGGGACTGTGGCCACAAACTACACACTTATGTCCATGCTCTCAGGAGTTATTCCTGCCAAGCCCCAGCCTCTCCAGCCTTGGTGAGGTTCTCTATTGGGTCTTAAATAGAATGCATCCGAGGTATCTTATGGTTTTTTGTGCTATTGTAAATTGAATCATTTCCCTAATTTCTCTTTCTACAGTTGCATTGTTAGTGTATAAGAAAGCAACTGATTTCTGTGCATTGATTTTGTATCCTGTCACATTACTGAATTGCTGTATGAGTTCTAGTAATTTGGGGGTGGAGTCTTTTGGTTTTTCCACATAAAGTATCATGTCATCTGTGAAAAGAGAGAGTTTGACTTCTTTGCCAATTTGAATACCTTTATTTCTTTTTGTTGTCTGATTGCCATTGCTAGGACTTCTAGTACTATGCTGAACAATAGTGGCGAGAGCGGGCATCCTTGACGTGTTCCTGATCTTAAGGGAAAGGCTCCCAGCTTTTCACTATTAAGGATGATATTTGCTGTGGGTTTTTAATAGATGGATTTTATGAACTTGAGGAATGTTCCCTCTATCCCTAAACTATGAAGAGTTTTAATCAGGAAAGGATGCTGTATTTTGTCAAATGCTTTTTCTGCATCAATTGAGAGGACCATACGGTTCTTCTCCCTCCTCTTATTAATGTGTTCTATCACATTGATTGATTTGCGAATGTTGAACCACCCTTGCATCCCAGGGATAAATCCCACTTGGTTGTGGTGGATGATCCTTTTAATGTATTGTTGGATCCTATTAGTTAGGATTTTGTTGAGGGTTTTGGAATCCATATTCATCGGTCTGAAATTCTCCTTTTTGATGGGGTCTTTGCCTGGTTTGGGGATTAAAGAATAAACCTAACCAAAGAGGTAAAGAATCTATACTCTAGGAACTACAGAACACTCATGAAAGAAACTGAAGAAGACACAAAAAGATGGAAAAATATTCCATGCTCATGGATCCGAAGAATAAACATTGTTAAAATGTCTATGCTACCCAGAGCAATCTCTACCTTCAATGCTATCCTGATCAAAATTCCAGTGACATTTTTCAAAGTGCTGGAACAAACAATCCTAAAATTTGTATGGAATCAGAAAAGACCCCGAATCGCCAAGGAAATGTTGAAAAAGAAAAACAAAGCTGGGGGCATCACGTTGCCCAATTTCAAGCTATATTACAAAGCAGTGATCACCAAGACAGCATCGTACTGGCACAAAAACATATAGATCAATGGAACAGAATAGAGAGCCCAGATATGGACCCTCAACTCTATGGTCAATAATCTTCAACAAAGCAGGAAAAAATATGCAATGGAAAAAAGACAGTCTCTTCAATAAAAGGTGCTGGGAAAATTGGACAGCTATATACAGAAGAATGAAACTCGACCATTCTCTAACACCATACATAAAGATAAACTCAAAATGGATGAAAGACCTCAATGTGAGACAGGAATCCATCAAAATCCTAGAGGAGAACATAGGCAGTAACCTCTTCGACATCAGCCACAGCAACTTCTTTCAAGATACATCTCCAAAAGCTAGTGAAACAAAAGCAAAAATGAACTTTTGGGACTTCATCAAGATAAAAAGCTTCTGCACAGCAAAGGAAATAGTCAACAAAACAAAGAGGCAACCCACAGAATGGGAGAAGATATTTGCAAACGACACCACAGATAAAGGGCTGGTATCCAAGATCTAGAAAGAACTTCTCAAACTCAACACCCAAAAAACAAATAATCAAGTCAAAAAATGGGCAGAAGACTTGAACAGACACTTCTCCAAAGAAGACATACAAATGGCTAACAGACACATGAAAAAATGTTCATCATCATTAGCCATCAGGGAAATTCAAATCAAAACCACATTGAGATACCACCTTACACCAATCAGAATGGCAAAAATTGACAAGCAAGAAACAACAAATGTTGGAGAGGTTATGGAGAAAGGGGAACCCTCTTTCACGGTGGGAATGCAAGTTGGTACAGCCACTTTGGAAAACAGTGTGGAGGTGCCTCAAAAAATTAAAAATAGAGCTACCCTATGACCCAGCAATTGCACTCCTGGGTATTTACCCCAAAGACACAGATGTAGTGAAAAGAAGGGCCATATGCACCCCAATATTCATAGCAGCCATGTCCACAATAGCCAAACTGTGGAAAGAGCCAAGATGCCCTTCAACAGACAAATGGATAAAGATGTGGTCCATATCTACAATGGCATATTACTCAGCCATCAGAAAGGATGAATACCCAACTTTTACATCAACATGGATGGGACTGGGGGAGATTATGCTAAGTGAAATAAGTCAAGCAGAGAAAGTCAATTATCATATGGTTTCACTTATTGGTGGAACATAAGGAATAGCATGGAGGACATTAGGAGAAGGAAGGGGAAAATGAAGGGGGGCAGAATGGGAGGAAGAGATGAACCATGAGAGACTATGGACTCTGAGAAACAAACTGAGGGTGTTAGAGGGGAGGGGGGTGGGGGGATGGGTTAGCCTGGTGATGGGTATTAAGGAGGGCACGTACTGCATGGAGCACTGGGTGTTATACAAAAACAATGAATCATGGATCACTACATCAAAAACTAATGATGTATTGTATGGTGACTAATATAACAATAAAATAAAATAAATAGAATGCATCCCATCCTGGTTTGCAGAGGAGAAATGATTCTCCTTCTTCTTTGCCTACATGTGTTATGCTACTCCTCAGTCCCAGAGGGAAGAGTCCCTCCTCCCTGTGATGGGAACACTGTTCTGTCACCTTCATCCTTCCCAACCCCACTGCTCATGTACTCGAGCTGGCAGTCCAAAAACCTGGAGTCATCCTTAACATTCTTTCTTTATATTCCACATTCAAGTCTGCCTTCAGAATGCTGTGACCAGTGGTGGGATGGTAAATGTGAAACAATCTACTCTCAGAAAGGAAAAGAAGCCTGATAGTGCTTGTGGACTTCTGTGGTGTCAACACTCCCACTGTGACCAATTACAGGCTAAAAGTGTTTAACAACTCACTTGCAAAATTCCTGAAAAGCTCTCAGGAGTGAGTACAAGTCTTCTCCCACACCCCAGTGAGCTTCATCCAGAATCTGCACACTGCTCACTCCCAGGGCTGCTCCCTGGTCTCAGCCACCAGCATCCCTTCCTGGACTATTGCTTTTTCTCTAACAGGCTCTCCAGTTTCAGCCACAGTGATTCTATGGAAATGGAAGTCAAACTGTGTCTCTCCTCTGCTTCCCCTTGTGAACCTGCATGACTCACTCACTCCCTCTTTCAAGCTCTGCTGACATGTCACTTTATTAAAAGCCCTTTCCATAAACCACCCTATATAAAATATCAGTTCCTCTCTCTCACTCTGTGTTCCCACAGCTCATAACCTAATTAAATTCTTTCCTTAGTACTTATGATTAGCTGACATGATAAGTGCTCACTTTGTACAATAGTGCAGGACAGAACAATGACGGTGCAGCTGAAACCATGCAAAGTCATCTCAATAATCAGTGGGAGAAAAACAATTTTTCTGTGACCTTTAAAAACATTTCTCAAAACACAGAAATTCTCCAACTGTCAGTTATGAATGTATAGAGAAATGAAAAAACAATAAAACTATTATTTATTTGGTGTACTGTCATTTCACACATTAGAAACACTGAAAAAGGAAGTGTTTTATTTTTTTATAAAGAGTCATCAAGAGTAGTGGGCACAGTGCTTGTCCTCTTCTGATCACATAGTTTGACCATACAGAGCCAGCATCTGAATCACTCCAGTCTCAGTTGGGATCAGCTTCCAACATTCCATCCCTGCTACTTTTGATGTTGTGAAATCCTTACAATATTAATTTGAATATTTCTGGTATCACATCCTCTGGGACATTTTCACCCTTTGCCCACCCCCCCCAACCACCACCACGACTTCAGTGATGTTGTAAGTTTGCCTTCATTCTGCTCCTCTGGCTGCATATCCATGCTCTAGGGACCAGCATCCCAGTCACGATTCCTGTGGTAGCTCTGCCTTCATGAGCCCCACTCACATTCAGTTTGAACTTCACCTCCAGTCTCATCTCTTCTCATTTCTACATCACACTTTCAGCTTTGTGCCAATTCCCTTTTGCCACTATTCACTTTTGTACAATGTCCCCTGGGTTCCTTGCTGGGAGACCAGGAGACAACACAACCACCTGCATTGCTGTCTGTGGGAAAGTGAGTAACGGAGTCACAGAGAACCACCACTACAGGCTTTGAAAGATTTGATGCTTATTTATCGTGATGAGCACCTGTTAGTTACATAGAGATCGGTGGCCTGAAGAAGAGCTGGCAGCAAAGTTTGTACTTCATGCAATTGCTCATGGAAAATTCCTCCATGTTAAATGAAACTGAAACCAAGTGTTGGGGGACTGATGGTATTTAACTGACCTGTGGAAACTGACATTCATGCATGTCAACACCATGCAAAGTGAGAACTGCCTGTGTGTGTTTGTCTCTTCCTCAAATAGGATGTGGACTCTGACAAAGAAGGGACTGTCCCAGTCCACAGTTGCCAGACAATGATGGACATGTGTTAGGCCATCACATTTTTAAAAAATAAACTGGGGAATACTTCCTTGAAGACATCAGTTTTTACAAGATGTCAGATTTTAAATAACATCTTTTTTCATTCCATCATCTGCTGCATGTACCTAAAACCATTTTGTTAAATACTACTCTCTTCTTGTGTTTAAAAATTCTATCAGAATTTCTTATCATCCCAAAAGTTAGCAAGTTGAATTTTAATAAACAAAACAATAACCCACTGATTGGAGTATGTCAAACAGGTGCAGGAACCTTCTGGTAGAGCTCCCAATGGTCAAAGTATAACGGTTTGAACAACAAATAAGTAAAGTAGTATATCTGATTCTGTTCTGGTCTGAATGTTCTTGTCCCCACAAAATTCGAGTGTTAGAATCCTCAAGCCCACGTGATGGTGTTAGCAGGTGGGACCTCTGGAAGGTGAGCAGGTCATGAGGGCTCCACCCTCATGAGTGGGATTGGCCCTTATAGAAGAGGCCCCCCAGAGATACCCAGCCACTTCAGCCATGTGAGGACACAATGAGAAATCTGTAGAGGGTCCTCTCCCAACCATGCTGGCTCCATGATCTCAGCATCTAGCCTCCTCAGCTGTGAGCAAGAGCTTTCTTTTGTTTATTTGCCACCCAGTCTGGGATATTTTGTTATAGCTGCCTTAGTGACTAAGACTGACTATAACCCCATATATGAAATAAATATCTTTGAGCCCATCCTGATATAAATAAATAATTGAATAAATTAATAAATTGAGAGAAGAAAAAATATCCTGTGCATAAAGTCCCAAATGATTTAACTAGATACTTCACCCTCAGGAGGGGACCCTAACTGCCCATCCATGAAGGGCAAGCTGCTTGTTGTGATTCCCTTCCAAAGAGGACAGAATGGTCCTGAAAAATACGGTTCAGCCAGGTGATCACGAGTTCACCAGCAATCATAAACCATGGCCACAGTGTGCTCCCTGATATAATGTGATAAGAGCGGCACTTTTCCTCTGTGACCTTCCTCCCCAAGCCCATCACCCCCGTCTGCTTATGAGAAAAGCATCCCGACAAATTGCAATGACATTCCACCACATAGCTGAGCAGCACTCCTCAAAATTGTCAGGCCATCACCATCAAGGAAAGTTGGAGAAGTTGTCACAGATGGGAGAAACTTAATGAGACATGTCAAATAAATGTAATGTGGTATCTTGCATGGAATTCTGGAACAGAAAGGGACATGGGGTAAAAACTAAGGAAATCTATTCTGGAGTGAATGTTTCTGTCTCTCCAAAGTGCATGTGTTGAAATCTAATCCCCAGTGTGATAGGATTTGGAGGTGGGATCTTTGACAGGTAATGAGGTCTTAAGGGTAGAGTCCTCATGAA